TCTATTTGGTTTAAGATCACATTTTCAGCCTTGTACCATAGAAGCGATGATTTACTTAATGAATATCCAAATTGATGTCATAATCTTATCTTGATAAATCACCTCGCAGTGTGGAACCGATGTCATAAAATTTTCATTACAAATGTTGCTTTAACCGCGAGAACGGAAATCCTGCATCATTGCACACTGGACAGTTACAGCGAAGAACATCAAGGCCCTCAGCTTGCATATAAATTATGATGTATTACGAAACATCTTGTGACAACAACTGGAAAATTATCTCGTTTATTACATGTTATGGAATTAATGAGACCAATTAAATTTTAATATTGAATAAGAAAACCAGAAGATTCAAGGCCTTTAATGTCAGATGCTACTCAAATTATTCCTATCAATGACATGTATATTGAAATACTTGGCATTTTCTGTTGGGAAACAAGTCGGCTAAGAGAAGAATGCCACGCTCCAATGCAGGTTCGCGACGCCCAGTGAATACGCAGTGTTGGAATCAATTAAAAAGAAGCTTGTTTTCTATGCACTCATCATGGAACTGATTCAGAAAAACACGAACGATGACTTCAATCTTTGCACATCCCTACAGGAGGCCATTATNGAACGCACATTAAAGGTTCGGATATAAACATAATACAGGGAGTATCAAGTTCGATTCCATTTGCACAATGAAACTTTCATAGCACATGGATAAGAAATAGCCAGCATGTTTGAGAATCATGTATGGAGAGACAGATTATTTTGTGATCCTTACGTTTACTGCACAAGATTAGCGCAGTCGCTTTGATCATAAAAGTCGAACTTTTACTAAACCATTTTTCTTCAATCACTTTGCCATGTACGAAAAAATTTTAGACAAAAGGTTTTTTAACCACCTCATAAATTATCGAGGCGCTTGGTTGAGTTCAGTGAATGACCTTTATATTTACAGAACATCAGTGTTGTAGGGCTATTGATAGTATCGATAGACTATTTCTATTGATGGTAGAATAACATTAAACATATAAGCAGAAACAGATGCATGAACGCTAGGTACGACGCCCCATGAAAGGATAATTACCGAGAATATATTTTAATTTAAATAACATTAAGTATGTTAGTCCTTTAGTTGACTAAACTGCATAACTAGAACTTGGATTTCAATTTGGAAAAGGGTAACAGAGAGGAAAAGAAAATTTCAGTGCAACGTACTCTAAGAAAACTAGAAAAATAGAGTCGCTGTTTATTATAAAAGTGACAACGATCTAGAGATAGACAAAAGAATTAGACTTATTGTGTGTTTCCACCAGAAACCTGTCACTTATAGTATACCTTTGTACTCATTGTAATCTTTAAAAAAATCATTGCTTCATTTTTAGTTAAAAACCCTTGTATGATTTATGAATTAATTGAGCAACAAAATTTAAAATTACTGTGAAAGCTAAAGCGCATAGTACAGTTCAAAAGCCAACCATACAATTCAACTCAATTGAAATTTGTACATTGAAGATACTCACCGAAGTATTATGGTTTTCAGCAGTTAGCGCGCCTTACCTGTAACGAAGAAAAGTTTGTACATAAAAAATATGAATAAATCAAGAGCAGAAAATTAGTATCAGGTTAAAGGGTTGAATTCATAGATGAACATAAAATGTGATTCTTTTATATATCAACAAATCATCAAATATGACGAAAAAAGTGAAAACAAACATGAAATTTAGATAACGCAAAGAACAGGAGCAAATACTTAATTCGGATCAGAAAAACTGAGAAAGAAAAAAATTGGAACACATAAGAGGGTGGAACACATTCAGTAATTTATGAAGAAATTTTCTCAGTGATTAATGTGGAGTTCTCGGTAATCAATTTTAAAATATATTAATTTGTTTATGCAGGTATAAAAATTTTGAGAAAAGAAACAATAGTCTCCCTTCGTACAGAAGAAGAAAATTGATGGAAAGCATGATCAAAGAAAATATGAACTTTTCATGTGTGACAATTTTATTCCGCATCGCAGGACTATAATCTGAAAATGAATTGAACGAATTACAGAGCATCAACACATAAATGTAACAAATTGGGTCAAGTTTTAGAGTAAAATATCATTTAATATCAGCAAGTTGTTTTAGATGCAAAAATAGCAGGAGCTACTTTTTCTAACAGTGATATAATATTGAAAAATATTTCTAAATATAATGTTGAGCTAGCAAAAAAGGCACAGAAAGCAATAATACAATTAGACCCATCTATTCCAACTAAAAACTACAAATTTATATACGCACTCATCCGATACAATGATCAGTATAGTGGGTAAATTGATAGCAATATTGAAGTTAATGTCCAGCGTAATAATGCATTAATGATTATTTATTAGTGTAAATAAGTCAATTAATATTTTTCGTGAGTCTTTGAAGTTAAAGAGGGTCGAATGGAAATGTTCCCTTAAATACACAATTTTATATTGAATCAGAGGCACAATGGTCAGGAAAATGAACTAAGAATCGTATAAATTAAATAAACGGGGTGCCGTGTGCACAAAATCAGCTTCATTACAATCATAATTGTCAATACGCTTTTCTGAGTCTTTATAGTGCGTTATAGACCAACACTTATTCAATATTCAAGATTTTAACAGTTTAATCACTAAATATACAGTTACACTAAACATTCAAAAAGCTGTTTAAATCTAACACACGAAAATATTAAAACCTAAGTAACGGTAAAACGACAACGGAGAATAAGAAAGAAAATTGATTTGGAATATCAATGGGAAAATAACAGATCTTATCCCACAACAGATTGAACATTCTTCGTGTGTTTTGATTTTTACTGCTGATTGTATTCAAATTCTCTAATATTTATTAAACAAATAATGGAGCTCGCCTGAGAAACGTTTTAAAGAAGATTTGATGTATTTACTTGGCGTTTTCTTTGCTTTAAAATTCTTAATGAACTCGCGATTGAAGCAAACTAATGATATAATTACTTATATACAAAGTAAATTCAAGTGGATATAGCTGATAATTTCTTTTCATCCCTTAAACTCCCGCCCAGTTGAGCCTCGGGGGTCCGGGGTGCAGGCTTCAAACCTGTAGCTGACTCGCGTCAGAGTGGTTCGACTCCACCTACTGGGCGGCCGTCTCAATGAATGCTACCGCATAATGGTGTCAAGAAATGAATTTTAGAAGACCTGATATGGACGTAAATAACGTAAAAATTAACTTTAGTTTTTGACACTTACACTGTTATCGGGATGATAGTGGCGCCATGTGTTCGAATCCTGTATAAATATGTCTGCTTTTTTCATAAGTATTAGAAACTTCATGACTGGATAAATCGAGTCTTGTGAATGAGTATTTCTTGGTTAAATTCGTTCTCCGTTTCCACGAGGCGTGAACACGCTAAATTCTTGGAACGGTTTACTTTCACGTTTAGTTTAGTTAGCTCAATAAATTTTCTGCGACGATGCGTTTCGTCACTGTCAGAAAACTACAATAGCAGGCTAACTGTTCTAAATGGCCGTTGTGTGACTGCTCAACAATTAATGCAAAGAATTGGGACCAGTATTATATATTTTTAATCTGCTTGTCAATGCATTTTAGTCGCATTCAAAACCTACGAGATTATATTCTCTACAATCATTCAATATTTGGATTTCCCCTTCACGGCTGCACAAGTTAAATTCAAGGCTTATTAATTATACTTATCGTATGACGCTGATTTCTATTTCATTCTTTGTGTTCTAAACCTGAAAAACATCAAAATGATTGGGCAATTTTGTTTATTACTTCATAAATAGTTTTTTCATGCTCAGATTTACAGTTTTTCCAACCAATATTTTCCCCCAAATCATATAAATAAAATGTACAATATGGTTTCTTAATTTGGGTCTTACTTTGTGTAGAATTCAGAATCCCACAAAATATTTCCTTAGAGACAAATAAAAATTCCAATAATATCCCTCACACTCAAAGTATACATACAACCACAATGAAATATAAATATTTAAATCTTTTGATAATGTCCAGACGCAATGTCTTTTTTTGCCCACTTTATAAATAAAGCCATCCTCTTATATTCACTCTGCACCATTGACGCACAAATTGTAGCAGCTTCTTGAACCTATCAGCTACTGTGGCCAGAGTTGAGGTATCTTTTCATATGCATAGGAGAAGCAAAAGCGTTGATAATAAATGAATAGCTTCAACTCGACCAATTTTTGTGACAAAATAAATAAATACATATTCCAGACATCGAAAGAAAGCAGCACCGAGTTAGTGGAGGCTAAATTCTGTAAAATTAATTATATTAATCTCTAAAACTTCACAAAGTATTTTTCATTTGAGCGGAATATCCTAGAGCTCAACAGAAAAGTATTACAAGGCCCGTTGTGCACACCAAACTCAAACGGTCTGATAAAGAATCTGTATCATAAACATGGAACGCTGACGCCCAAATGAACCGAAACATGTCGTGGGAAAATATCTTGCATAATTTCACGACTAACTACCTAGAGTGAGGGAAGTCATTCACAATGCAGCTTATTACTGTGTCTTAAGTTGTAGTCTTTGTTTTGTTTTTTACTCATTTATTTCAATGAAAAAATGAATCTAACAAAAAACTTTGGATAACCGATGGCAACAGCATAAACGAACGATGTGTAAAGGAAGGTGTGAGCTTTTTAGAATGCAAAGGCCTGCAAAGGTCTTAATTGAAAGGCCTGGGAAACTGCAAAATAATCAAAACATTTACTTTCAACTGAGAGGGTTTAGCCAGATAGAGAACATCGAAATCTAGGAACTGCACGACACAATTGGAATCTTGTTCTCTTGAGTGTCATGTTTGTAGGTGTGGTCATTTTATTAATTCTTAATCTTCAAAGTTAAAAAAACAATTCTAAATTATAATGTACAAAATTGAAGAAACAATACTAAATGATAATCTAAAATGTTCCAAATGAGGAGTATAAATACAATGTTGTAGACAAACCTCCATAAACTACTACCCACCTTGCCAGCTGTGCGGGAAGCAGTAGTCCTCTCTGAGCGAGCGTGTCTCAGCAAAGCTCATGTTGTCGCCATCACCGTCGTAGGGCGCGGAGTATGGGTCCTCCAGATCCTCTCCGCACTCACTAACCTCCTCCAGGAGGGTAGGTGGCTGGTGCGGTGCGTCGTAGCCACAATGACGGCGGAACGCGCGGGCGCCGCCATCCAAACGTACCCGTGGAGTGTCGTAAAATAGCGAGTCTTGCATCTGCGGAGACAGAATTATTGTTCCATCAGAAATTATTAATTGTTGTTCCATCATTAGAAATTATTAATTGTTGTTCCATCGTCAGAAATTACTAATTGTTCCATCGATGCTTGACGTGTCGGGAAAAGGTCAGGGTAAAACAGTACAAGATGATGGCTTGCTGACATTAGATGGCCCGTCCGGCGTCAAGAAGATGCGGATTAAGAGTCGAAAACGAGGGAATTAGAATTTTGCCTCCATGCCATTCGTAATTAGAATTAATAATTGGTGAATAAAATTTCACGAATTATGATCGGCGCGTCGTAGCCACAGTGACGGCGGAACGCTCGGGCGCCGCCATCCAAACGAACCCGTGGAGTGTCGTAAAATAGCGAGTCTTGCATCTGTGGAGACAAAATTGTTCCATTAGAAATTATCGATTGTTGTTCCAGCATTAGAAATTATTAATTGTTGTTCCATCATCAGAAATTACTAATTGTTCCTTCGATGCTTGACGTGTCGGGAAAAGGTCAGGGTAAAACAGTACAAGATGATGGCTTGCTGACATTAGATGGCCCGTCTTGGCGTCAAGAAGATGCGGATTAAGGGTCGAAAACGAGGGAATTAGAATTTTGCCTCCATGCTATTCGTAATTAGAAATTATAATTGGAGAATACAATTTCTGGAATTATTGTAAAATCATAGACAAAAACATCAACATCGAAAGATACCTCAACAGAAATAACTAAAAATAAAGTTTTTAAATTTTCAAGTATATAATTGGATGTGTGGTACATTAAAAAATGTGCCCAGCTGCACGCATAATTATTTTCGTAGGAAAAATTAGTCGCATTGCATTGAAGCTCAATTCTGCTTGATATTCATAACTAAGATGATCAAAGTGATGTCCGACACAGCACTTGCGGTTTACATTAGAGATTAAAAGAGCAGGTATGCAGCGGCAAATGAAGATGAATGGCGTCATCAACAGAGCAGACGTAAAGCCTGCGACCTGTTCTCTTAACAGACGACGAATGAAGCATTAACAGCTGCTGCTGCAGACCATGAAGCTTCTTGAAAACCGGATTGCGATTGCAAAGAAATATTCAGTGGTCACGGACGCTATTGAACGGTACTATGAAAGATCATGGGGGAGTCGGAGAATCTCATGGACATGAGCGTTCCATAATAAAGTGGTCGCTTGACGTGAAGCTCGATTCCAGGGCACAGAAAACGGAAAGTATATTATTTTGCATGAATGAAATCCGGTTGTTTAATTGGGATACACATAATTTGCTATATCAAACTAAAAATGCAATCGAACATAAATTTAGTTGTTTTACTAAAATTAATCTCTGCGAAATTCACATTTTCTTACGTTTGCGGTGCTTGGTTGAATTTACGTGCATTTATGCAACAAAAATTTTAAATACCTGGGATGATTTTTTCAATTAGAAGTTCGACATGAGATTGATCAGTTGGATAGTAATGGCTAGTGCTAGAGAATAACTGTGAGCTAGAAAACAGTTGAGGTTAAAAGTCGACTTTTGATGATATAGGTCCGATAATGCGCGGGGCGCTAACTCTGTAGATATGTTTTATGAAATATGTTCGAATAATTTGAAAACAATTAAACTGACCGACAGTTAAACGTTTTTCGACAAAATAGCATTCCCTATATTTTTCATGGAATATAAAGACGCATATATTATTTTTGTTTGTTGCTAATAACAGACGAAAGATAATTAATTTTATTCTTGACTGCATTCTTGCTTGTGTAATCCTGATGGCGTCACACATAATGCTGAGCTCACAATCAGGGGACGGGCACAGTTCCGGCATGGGTTAGGAGTTCCCCCTCCATCCCTTCGTTATTTCATTGCCACAGCATCTCAGTGTGAGAAAATATCTCATCTCGGGAGTACAGTCAGACGAGCAACTGAACTCGTGTTATGTGCGAGATAAAGATTGAACAAGACTGAATATTACTTTCATACGAGATCGTGGAACGGTATGAAATATCCTTTCTTGCAGCAAAATCAGTAATACTAAAATTACTTGAGAAATTTTTACCATTCAGAAAGCAAAATAAGACTGTTAACATAATTCAAACACCAAAAATAGTCTGATTTAAAAATATCACTTAAAATCAAAGAAAAAAGAGAATTGAGTGACCATCTCTCTGAAACATTCAGTTGAAGCACCGCCATCGGATATTTCTTTGACTTTATCAGAACGCGGAAGCGGCGAGCGGAGCCGGCGAATTTTTTGAGCGCGGTGACATGACATCGGCGGTAAAAATACCATCGTGACTGAGACTGCCAGGACTGCCGGGGCACAGCAAGCAGTCTTCAATCATGGCCATTTGAGGTACTTAGAAGCTACTCATTTTGTTCTATGCGGTAGAATAATTTCCTATTGAAGCGAACCAGGTTCGGCGAAGAAGAACAGATGAATGTTGGATGAACCTTGAATATTTTAGATGTATTTTATGTAATTTGGATTCAGCACACATCTTAAGATGGTTGTGCAAGATATATATTTCCAATCCATGGGCTACAATAGCTTAGAAAAATATATGAAGAATATAAGTCGACAGTTAGAAAGCTGCAACTAATGAGAAATAAGTGAATTACATTGAAGCTAATACAAAAATCCCGAAAATTTTTCGGAAATGCTAGGCTTCGAAAAAGTAATTCGTTATTTCAAGCACAAAGAACTTGGTACATTACGGGAAATTTATATTAACATTATATTTCTTCTTAAATAATATAGTTATATATTTATGAATACGTCAAGATACTAAAACAGCATTTAGAGTGGGACATATAATGTCCCACTCTAAATGAAATAAAGTACAGAAAATATAATGTCTGACGCTGCAGCGAAGGTCACGACTCGTCTTCACGGTTCAAGGCCGTGCGAGGGTAGAGGACAACAGCGATTAAGCGAGGGTGTGACTCGAGAATGCCAACGTGAGCCCGTGGAATGCAGAGGGATCACTAACGCGAAGCATTTAATTGAATTACATCCAAAGGAAGTCGTCAAAATTCTACTAGAGGTTTTGGATGCAAAGATATTAGGATTTATCCAAAAGAAACCAGCAAAATTGCGAGATTATCAAGATGATAGTAGAAGCAAAAAATAAAACAAAAATTAATGAATCCCTCGCTCTACAACAATGCTAGAATACTTAAAAAGTATGAGAAAGAAAAATATAAATATGCAGAGGACCCATTAATGCATGAAACTAAAATTAGCTGAAGGTTCAGAGAGAATTGATGCTAAAAAATAGTTGCATTGTTCTTAACTGAAATAAAATCCAGAAATTGTTTAATCGAGCAAGAATTTGGATTGATCACCATGGTTTGCAACCTTGAAAGTTTTATTATAAATAAAGTTTCTTTACTGGGCGTTCAGCGCCTGAACACTGATGCGAAATTACCACCTGTATCAGATAGAGAAACATATGTTTTTTTAAGGGAAGGTGTTCGATTAATTATGAGCAGAAGACGGAATATAATGTAATCTTAGTTATTCATATGTTAAGGAAAACCTGATGATTTACAGTTTGTCGATCTTTATATCATTATTGCAATGAGTGATGTGCACATAAAGTTTACTTTAGTGTCTCGCTGCGCTTGAATTGATAAATGTAGTAACAATTAATTCAGAACTATCGAGACCCGAAAATCATAAGACAATAATTTGATTGGAATACGAGAAACTCAATATCATTTAGTAATAAACTGAGAAATTGCAAAAATATTGAGAGTCGTGCATTTTTAGAATGCAGTAAGTGATAAAAATGTTTTCTTAAATAGTGATGTTAATAAGAAATATTACAGGCGACTACGCTTTCTGCGACATTAATCCATGAGCACATACGACAAAAGCATGCATGAAACGTAACTTCATGAATGCACCCAGGACGTACGACACGGATAAGACAAGACGCGTGTCGTGCAATAATCGTAACGGGAGCGCGCATCATAACATGGAGACATCAACCTACATTTGCGCGAGAGAAAACCACGCTGATTGTGTCGCACGAGATGACCTTCCATAACCGCGTACAATTCCTGGCGAGCTGTGAGCTAGAATTTCTTCTGAATGCATATGCTACGCTTCACCGAACTCTGGGAGAAAGCGTCATTGCTAATGTCTTGAAGGTAATCAGGACTTGATAGAGCCCAAATAATAGCTTCATAAAATCGAAATCAAGTAGCGCTTGAGCCCAAATAATGGCTTCATAAAATCGAAATAAAGTAGCCATTCTGTACATACACACATGATTTTGCAATAAAAGACCTAATTATTTCAAATCTGAAATCTCGTAAGTTGCGGTAAATGACAGAAATTTTATGTAGTTAAGTTAAATACATTTTGCGCGCACTATTGTCGACATGCCCGTGATAGCCATCGAGTTCTCTTGAAAATCGTGATCGCTTTTATTCTTACGAGTTCTGAGCGCTAACAGAAAAAATGTCATTCGATATCGGCATAACAAGGACAGGCTCATAGTAATAAAACAAATTTTTGTTAATCATTTCTCTTATATTTTCTCAATTTCAATTAATGATGGTTTGCAGAAGGATAAGTTTTGGAATATTCTAACGCTTTGAGAATTATTTCATCTACGTGGATGGTTAACCTGTGGATCGTTAAGTACATGGTATGAATAGATAAATTTTCCCTTTAACGCGATATTGTTCACCCAGAAAATGAATGGGTTATATATTGCCAAATACATAGTGACACACTTTCTGCATGTAGCACTGATACGTCCTTTTTCCGGGTAAAACTGAATCAGGATGGCCCACGCAAGGGCAAGAATGAAATAAGTGCATACTTACTGGGACAAAGTCTAACAATTTTTCTGAATGTTGCAGGGATGGATGATGCCACTACCGCAGTAGAAAGCGACAGTTAAGATCAGGAGAAAACCCACAAAAGGTCACGGACGACTCACAATAATTAAGATGCATCTGCCCCTCCCACCCCACTGCCCTCACAATGGGTGACATCAATTGCGTTGGCCAACAAACGTGAAACATCTTTCGGAAATTGAGTTTAAAATTTGCTGATAGGCATTTAAATTGATAAGCGAATTCTAGTAAATTTTTTTATTCAGTTGCAAGCCATTTAACTGACATAACAAACATTTGAATGATCTCATTATATTATATAATTCGAATCGTTTATTTTGAAACTGAATTCAAGCTTCCACTAGTTAAATAATTTTTAAAAATAATGGTCTCATTTTTTTCTGATGCAAAAGAAGCAAAAAAAAAAGACGTTTCGCAAAAGAAGAGGGCGAATTCAACCATGTATCACAACATAATACATTTATCAGCAAACAAAAAATAAAAAAGGCTAAAAGAGGGATCATTTCTCGCATATG